ATGTTGTGGTTGATTGATCTCCTAAGCAGACCACTGAAACTTTCTCCATATCCACCCATCAAGCTGTTTGACTTAATGTTAGTATCCATGTATTCACTAAAAAAAAAAAAAAAGTTAATTTCCTCCAAGAAGTTTTTGCTGAGGCCAGTATTGTGGCGTAACTGGTTAGGCCACTGCTTGTGTCATCAACATTCCATATCAGAGTTCCAATGGGTTCCCAGCTACTCTGCTTCTGATACAGCTTGCGAGAAAGCTGTGAAAAGTGGCTCGTGTACCCGAGAGGCTGGGATGGAGTTTATAGCTCACAGCTTTGGTTTGGCCCAGCACAGGCTGTTAGTGGCCATTTGGGAAGTAAACCAGGATGGAAGATTCTTTTTCTCTCTGTTTGCCTCTGCCCCTGTATCTGTCACTGTCACTTTGCCTTTCAAATAAATAAGCTAAAAACAAAACAAAATAAAACAAAACAAAAAACCCACCAAAAACGAACTTCTTTGCATTCACACCTTGGTTGATGCAAAACCTCATTTTAGCATATCTTTGCTTTCAACATGGCTCTCTAAGCTTAGTCATTTCTAGCTTTGATTTAAACTAAGAGAGGTGTGACTGGTCCTATCACCTGAATCCTTAATGACCCTTTAGCAGTAGATTTGTCCTAATTTCAGTATTGCTGTCTTGCAAGAACAAAATAAGTGAACAGCAACCAGAACACACAGAATTTATCAACTGAGTGTGCCATCTTATGTGGGCATAGTTTTTGATACCCCAATATAATTATAGCAGTAACATCAAAGACCGCTGACCATGGGTCAGTGTAACAGATACAGTAAGAATGAAAAAGTGTAAAATATTGTGAGAATTATTAAAATGTGATGCAGAGGCATGACGTAGCACATGCTGTGGGAAGCATGGTGCTGACAAGTTTGCTCGCCTGGCGTTGCCTCAAGCCTTACATGATAAAGCCCACTCTCTCTGCAGCTCACTAACACAAGGTACGCCCGTGTCAGGAGGAGGGTGTGCAGAGGACTGCAGTTGTGGACTTGTCTGTTTCTCCTTGGGCTTCTTTTAAGCTTTGTGTGGGGGCTTTTACAATTAAAATTATTATTATTTTTTAATTGGAGAGTCAGATTTACAGAGAGAAGGAGAGACAGAGAGAAAGATTTTTCATCTGCTGGCTCACACCCCAAGTGGCCACAAAACTGAAGCTGAGCTAGTCCAAAGCCAGGGAGCAGAACATCTTCTAGGTCTCCCACGAGGGTGCAATGTCCCAAGGCTTTGGGCTGTCCTCTGCTGCTTTCCCAGGCCATAACCAGGGAGCTGGATGGGAAGTGGAGCAGCTGGGATAGGAATTGGCACCCTTATGAGATCCTGGTGCAAGCAAGGTGAGGACTTTAGCTGCTAGGCTACTGTGCCATGCCCTGGTCATATGTTCTGAAGCTATTACAAGGTACATGAATGTTTAGATATTGTACTGTCTTGATGAATTCATCCCTTCTCCATTATGAGATGAACCTGATCCCTGGAGTCTTTGCTCTGACACATGCTAGGTTTGATATAGCCACTCAGCTTTTTTTTTTTTTTAAAGATTTATTTATTTGTTTTTATTGGAAAGTCAGATCAGATTTATGAAGACAAAGAGTGACAGAAAGATCTTCCATTTGCTGGTTCATTTCCCAAATGGCTGTAATGGCCAGAGCCGAGCTGATCCAATCCAAAGCGGGAGCCGGAGCTTCTTCTGGGTCTCCCATGCAGAAACAGGATCCCAAGGCTTTGAGCCATCATCTACTGCTTTCTCAGGCTATAAGCGGGAAGCTGGATGGGAGGTGGGGCAGCTGGGAAATGAACCAGTGCCCATATGGAATCCCAACATTTGTGAAGTGAGGATTTAACCATTGAACCATTTTTGCCAGGTCCGTATGTCTTTATATTTAAGTGATATTTTGGTCCACAGCACGTATTGTCTTGTTGTCTTATCTAAGAATCCCTACCGTTCAATTGGAAGCTTGAAATTTAATGTATTATTGATATGGTGAGATCTGGCTGTTTTCTATTCTTTGGGTTTTTTTTCTATTCTTTTTTATCTTTTTTCCCCCACTTTAGTTATTTTTATGGTTTTGTTGATCTCTTGTCGGTCTATTAGCTGTAACTGTTTTTTTATTTTAGTTATTGGTTTTGAGTTTGCAGTGTGCATCTTTAATCTGTCATCTATCCTCAGACATTAGTGCATTTCCATTTCTCTCCTGGCATTTGTATATTATTATCATATTTTCCTCACATATATTATTAAACTCATGCCACATTGGTATTTTTGTTTGTGTTTTAGCCTTTTGAAAGAGATTTAAAGAAGAAAAACATCATGTTTACCCACTTGCATCCAGGGCGTGCATTCCTTTGTGTAGACTCATGTTTTTAACTATCATGACCTTCTTCCTGAAAGCCTTTCTTTAACATAATGTAGTGCTGATTGGCTGTGGTTCATTCTTTCAGTTTTTGCATATCCAAAAAGCATTTACTTCATCTTCATTTTTTGGGAAACTATGTCTTAGAGACATGGAATTGTAGAAGTGAAAGCTTTTTTTTTTTTTTTCCCTTTCGTACCAAGAAATTCTCTCTTTTGGAACCAAAAAAAAAAAAAATACTCTCTTCTGGCGTGCATGGATGTTTCCTTCAAGAGATCTGTTGCCCTTAGTTCTGTCTCTCTGTATATAACATGTCTTTTTCCCATGGCTGCTTCCAGACTTAGTCTTCATCCCCAATACTGTGATTTGCTGTGTCTCTCAAAAGTTCGTGTGTTGGAGGCTTGGTGCCCAGTTTGGCAGTTGAGGTGGTAGAACCTTTAAGAGGCAGGGCCTGGTGGAAGGTGGTTAGATCATCAGGGTGCTACCCTTGGCAGGGATTAAGGGAGTTCTCCTTGTGCTTACTGACCTTGAGAATAGATTGTTACAATTAGAGCAAGCCTGGCCATGAGCTTTCTGGCAGCCTATCTTTAACTGTCACATGCACTGCCATGGTCATCTACTCTGAGGCCAGCCAGGCAGGCCCCTGACTTTGGACTTTCATCTGTTTCTTTCTTTTTTCTTTTTTAAGATTTATTTTATTTTTATTGGAAATCCGATATAGAGAGAGGAGAGACAGAAAGGAAAAACTTCCATCCAATGATTCACTCCCTAAGCGCTGCAATGGCCAGAGCTGTCCTGATTCGAAGCCAGAAGCCTGGAGTCTCCTCCAGGTCTCCCATGTGGGTTCAGGGTCCCAAGGATTTGGGCTGTCCTTGACTGCTTTCCCAGGCCACAAGCAAGGAACTGGATGGGAAGCAGGGCTGCCGGGATTAGAACCTGCATCCATTTGGGATCCCAGCTCATGCAAGGCAAAGATTTCGGCCACTGGGCCACCACACCAGACCCAGTTGGCTTTCCTTTTTACTTTGGTGAATATTGTCTTGTCTTTCTACCTCTAAGGACCCCGGACAGTGTGAATTTTACTTCAGTGAATAATGCATAATTGTACATTCTTACAAATAGTCTTGGATTTTATTCTAGGATACATTTACTTTGAAACAATTTGTTTGATGCTATAACTTCAAAAATTTGGTGAGCTTTCAGAGAAGCATTGATGATATGAATAATACATCTGCCTACCGAGGTAAGATCCTTCTGAGTCCTCTAACGGCACTGTAAAATTAGGAGGCTTTCCTGTGTCCCTGGTGGAAACAGGCATTATTCCTGGATCTGGGTGGCCTTGGGGAACCACTATAATCCCTTCAGGTGCTGCTTCTCCTGCTGTCATCTCACCTGGTCAAACTCAGGCAGTGGCCACATCACAAGTGACCTCAGTAGCTGAAGGGAAGGGTGATGGCAGCGGGGTTCCGTGAGATGCCTGGGGCCTCTAGCAGTGCAAGGCCCTGCACCACTCGGTACCCGCCATCTTCAGCTGAGCCCTAAGTCTTTCATTAAATGTTTGGATTTAAGATTCTATAACTTTAAAAAAACATTTAATGAAAGACTTATTTTATTACAAAGTCAGATATACAGAGAGGAGGAGAGACAGAGAGGAAGATCTTCGTCTGATGATTCACTCCCCAAGTGAGCGCAACGGCCGGTACTGTGCTGATCCAAAGCTGGGAACCTGGAATGTCTTCCGGGTCTCCCACGTGGGTGCAGGGTCCCAAAGCTTTGGGCCGTCCTCGACTGCTTTCCCAGGCCACAAGCAGAGAGCTGGATAGGAAGCAGGGCTGCTGGGATTAGAACCGGCGCCCATATGGGATCCTGGGGTGTTCAAGGTGAAGACTTTAGCCACTAGGCCATGCCGCCGGGCCTGACTGTTGGATTTCTAAAGCACAGTTGTAAATATTTTCTAACTAATTATTTACAGGGTCATAATTGTGGGATTTTTAAAAGTCCACGTTTTTTAAAACAATTTCTCAAACAGTTCTGGTGGCTCTGAATACTGTACCTGTGAAACTCGTGATGGTAGCAATTGGAGAGCAGGGGACACATCAGAGGGGATCGGGAGGGCATGGATTGCACCTGCCTGGGGATGAGGGAGAAGTGCGGCTTGTGGCCCAGCTGGCAGGAGTGCAGACATCTGTAGAGACAGAGAGCCAAGAGAAGGCATAGGTGAAGGAGGCAGAGGGTGAAAGGAGGGCGGGCAGTAGCTTTTTCAGCTGTCTACTCCTAATTCAGAGATCGAGAAAGGCAAGATAAGGACATCTGTCTTCTCTCCCCCATCACAGCACGTGTCACTGCCACTGGCCTGGCAGGTTCTGACCTGATATCCTTACCAACATGAAAGCCCAATCCTAGAAAGACTATACTAATCCTGTGATAAGTGAGGAAAATGCCAATCCCTGGAACCATCCTGTCGGCTGTTGTGTTGGGAAAGAGGAGCACCCTGGCTTCTTGTTGCTCTCCCCAAGTCCTTTTACTGTCACAGCTCCTTGGCTTGTTTCCTCTTAGCAGCCTAACAGAGTTTCCCTGAAGTTTCCGGTGCTGCCTTTGGGGATGATGGCAGCCCACAAAGGAAGTCGGACTGCGAAGAGTAGGCCGCCAAAGGGACCACTGGAGGTACCGTTCCCAGCAGAGAAGGACTGGCCTGAGGATGATGATGCAGATTATGTCTTCAAGGACCCCTCTCAGGAGCTGAAATCTCTGCCTCAGCCGTACCGAATGATCGACAAGCTGGTGAACCTTGTGTTTGACCAGACCTGGGAAGCTATTGAAGAGAGAGAGGCGCTGAGGGAAGCCGAGAGGAACCGGGTGCAGCCCACTGTCTACCCTCCTGTTGCAGAAATTCAGGTATGGAGCCGGTGGCTACCTCTGAGTCCAGCCTCTCTGAAGAACGTTAGTAATCGAAAACACCTGATCCCTGGCAAGACTTCCTGCCAGGAGCCATGGTTCAACAAGACAGGTGCATTTCTCAAAGACGCTAGGCACACTGCTGACTCTGGTTAACTGAGGGTTGTACAAAAGGCCTTCTTTGCTTGACTGTGGATATTGAGAAGTCTTCCTTAGTGCATTAATCCAGTCTGTGGCTTGATGATTGAGCTTGAGTGAAATTCTTCCCACAGAACACTTTAGAAATGACGGACAGGGCCTGTGGTCATGTGTAAGTGTTGTGATTGCGCATTTATCCTCAACTCATTTGTTTTTTCTGTCCTCTTTCTCCTAAAAGTGGGATGCTGTGAATTTCCCAGTTGTTGGGGTGGAGTTTTAGATGGGTGCTGTGGTTGGGGGTTATGTGTGTAGGAAGAGCTCTCACCACCACCATGTCTACTTTGAAAAGTTAGCTTCATTATTACTTGAAGTCTATGAGAACTGACAATAATTCGTTTTCTTCTCTGTTTTCATTTTCCCAGCTCAACAAAACACCCAATTGTATGGCTATTTCCCAAGACTATCTGTTCATTGGAGGAGCCAAAGGATTCTCCATCTATAATCTGTACAATGCTAAACGAATATTTGTTTGGGAGAAATTTAAGGTTGATGTCACTTCCATCTGGGCCATGGATTTGGGGAATGAAATGCTCATTGCTCCTGTGGATGAATTGGGTATTTGTTGTTCTTCTTAAGCCTGATATACATTTGCTTAGGAACTGTTGTTCACTTTAATCTCCTTTTCAGGTGTGGGTGGGTCTGGGCGTGGGAGTTCTCCAGACTTCTGAAGAAATAACTAATGCCATTGTGTATCCGTGGGCCGTTTAGTTCTCACAGGAGCTCCTGTAGGAAAGTGCAGGTTTTCATCCCTGTTCAGAAGCGCCAACAGGCATGTTCATTAAATTACTGAGTTAATGTGGAAAGGAAGTAACACAGTGAGACTTCAGGTCAGGCATGGTGGCCCTGGGGTCCACACCCTGCATCTATTTTAAAAAATGTATTTGCTTGAAAAGCAGAGACCATGTTGCCATCCCCTGGGTCACTCCCCAAATGACAGGAAGCAGGAACTCATTCCAGGTCACCTACACAAGTAGCAAGTGCCCAGCCCTTAGGGCCATCATCTGCTCCCCCCGGGTCTGCACTGGCAGGCCTGCTGAAATGGGGAACAAGCACTCCAGTCTGGGACCCAGGTGTCTCCTGATGAATATCTTTTCTTAAAAAAGGAAGGATTGGGCCCGGTGCGGTGGCGCAAGTGGTTAAGTCCTCGCCTTGCATGCCCGGGATCCCATATGGGCGCCAGTTCTAATCCTGGCAGCCCCGCTTCCCTTCCAGCTCCCTGCCTGTGGCCCGGGAAAGCAGTCGAGGACGGCCCAAAGCTTTGGGACCCTGCACCCGCGTGGGAGACCCGGAAGAGGCTTCTGGCTTCGGATCGGCATAGTATCGACCGTTGCGGCTCACTTGGGGAGTGAATCATCGGACGGAAGATCTTCCTCTCTGTCTCTCCTCTCTGTATATCCGCCTTTCCAATAAAAAATAATAAAAAAAAAATCTTTAAAAAAGGAAGGATTTATTATTTTTTTTTGAAAGGCAGATTTATGGAGAGAAGGACAAACAGAAAGATCTTTCATCCACTGTTCCACTCCCCAAATGGCCACAACAGCCTGAGCTGAGTTGATCTGAAGGCAGGAGCCAGGAGCTTTTTCCCAGTCTCCCATGTGGGTGCAGGTTCCCAAAGCTTTGGGCCATCATCCACTGCTTTCTTAGGCCACAAGCAGGGAGCTGCATGGGAAGTGGAGCAACCAGGATGTGAACCAGTGCCCATGTGGGATTCTGGTGCTTAGAGGTGGAGGATTAACCCCTTGAGCCATCACATCAGGTCCTTCTGATGAGTATCTTAACTGCTGTATTCAGTGTCCACCTAGGATCACACATATTTGTCATGCTGCATTTTGCTTTGTGTAACCTTCAACACAATGATTTAGAAGGCATACCATCTTGATGTCTCTAATACATTCATTGGTCTAGAGCACATGCCCATGAATCTTTATTGGATTGAGTTTGACTTTTCACAGATAATGGGCCAGATGCCTTTTCAGGATCTGTTATACACATTTAGAAGCAGGTGTAAATATGTGGGAGAAATACCTACAGGAAGAATCTCTTAGTCATGTGAGTCATACAGTAGGTTGAATGAGAGAATGACAGAATTATTAAGACAATCAGGTGCATGAGGAGCTTGTTGGAGTTGTGAAGTAAGTTATGCTCCTTTCCATCAAAGGATCCCAGAGCTAGCAGGAGGAAGGCACTGTACACAGGAGACAGTGAGAAACAGAGTGGGCACCATGCTGACCCGGGACATGGACTGGTGTGGCTGACGTGCCTCACGAGACTATCAGGAGGAGCAGGTGGGGCCTGGGTAGACAGGAGCCCAGGAAGGAGGAAAGGATGAAGCATACCAGGTGAGGGAGAGCAGAGCAGGGAGAGCAATGGACATGGGCAGTCTAGGGTCCAGTAGAGGCCCGAGAACATGTGAACTCATCATGGTCACTTCTGCTCTGTGGAGGCATGTGGCTGAGCTTTAGATACCCATATGAGAGTACATGGGGCCAGCTCCTGCCCCTGGCTTCCTGTTCAGTGCAAATCCTGGAAGGCAGTGAAAACCCAAGTAACTGGGTCCCACCTGCTCAGGTGGGACACATGGATTGAGTTCCTGGCTCCCAGCCCTGGCCCCAGCCAGCGGCCTTGCCAGCCTTTGGAGAATGAACCAGTGGCTGGGGGTTCGTGGTCTCTATAGTAAGTAAGCAAAAGAAAGAAAGAAAATTGCAGCTCTTCCTTGGCTCACATGTCTGTCTTAGATTCCCACCTCTTTCTCTGTTTCAGGCATCGTTAGGCTGTTCTATTTGTGTAAGGATTGCCTTTTCCTGATCAAAGCCATCAATGAAGCGGTGAGTGTCTGTTCTCTGACTTTTAACTGAGCCAGAAGCCAAAGGAAGTTCAGCAGGAGACAGTGACAGCAGTGCTGGCTTAGGAAGATATCAAGACCTCCCTGCCAGGAAGCCTCTTCCCAAATGGCGAATCCAGTGTCTTTCCCGTTAGAGGGTACGCGTGAAGGCCTCCAATTTGTTCATCCTGTTGTCAGGAAGAGCTAGTGACTATGAAACTCCAGTTCAGATTTTTTTTCTCTTGAGCATCAGACCAACAAGTCCAATAAGTGATTTTAAAAAGTTTCCATGTTCCCTAGTCTGTATCCCATTCCCGTTCACGTGTCTGTGGTGTCTCTCTGCTTGGGACAGTCTCCTAATCTCCAGACCCACTCTAGCCATTAAATTTCTCATTGTTCAAAACCAGCTCAGACATCTCCTTTGGTAAGACGTGTTTCTTGCTAAGCTAAAAGAAGCTGATTCCTTTGTGCTGTGCAGACAGAAGAGCAGTTCAGTCACAAATTCTGCACCCTCCCTGCTGGTCTGCATCACAGCTGCTTCTCTGGGACGTAAGCCCCCCGGGGCAGAGCACAGGTCTTTTTGTTTCTCTTAATCCTAACACCTGCCTGGCCACTCCAGTGAGGGTTCTCAGTATTTGTTTGAGAGGCAGAGAAGGACAGAAATAGATCGAGATCCACCGGTTCACTTTCCAATTGCCTGCAATCACTGGTCCTGATGCTTCCAGGAGCTGGGAGCTCAATCCGGGTCTCCCACATGGGTGACAGGGATCCAGGTGTTTGAGCCGTGACCTGCGGCCTCCCAGAGTATGCCTCAGCAGGAGGCTGGGTCAGAAGCGGAACAGCTGGGATCTGAGCACAGGTATTCTGACAGGGGCTGCAGGAACCTGAGAGCCATCTTAACTGCTATCCTCACCCACCCCCAAAAGTGGTGTTTGAATTAATTTCAAAAAAGAAGATATTATTTAGACTATTTCTTAACTATACATTGCCTTGTTAAAAACTTTAATTGGCTACCAAGGCAATTTGATAAAGAAGATACTTTAAATAAATGGTATTAGAAATAGAGAATGAACAAAATGAATCAATCTTATTCTATACCATATATATAAATTAACTTTAGTTGGATCTTAGACCTAAATAAAAAGGCTGAAGTATCATTCTTAAAAAAAAAAAAAAAAAAACAGAAAATATCTTTTCAACCTTTGGGCCATGGAGAGTGCTAAGCATTAAAGAAAATACCAATATTGGATTCATCAGAAATAAAACCCATTCTTTGTATCATGCGTGAAGCTCAACTCGAAATGAATGACACCTGTTGGTAAAATTAAAGCTATAGAATTTATACAACAAAACAGGAAAAAGTCTTTGTGACTTCATATTAGGCAAAAAAAAATTTTTATTTTTAGTTACAATGTCAAAAGCATAACTTATAAGAGAAAATACTGAAAATTAAGAAATTTTGTTCCACAAAAGGTACTGATAAAAGAATAAGGAGACTAGGACCCTCAAAATTCAAAACTAATGAAATAGCATTTTTTTAATGGATAAAGGATTTGAGAAACAGTTCACCAAAGGAAATATACAGGATACAAGTAGCAAGGGCTGGCCAAGGTGTGGAGTAAATGGAACTTTAACACACTACTTATTCTATTTGATACAGCTACTTAAGTAGCTTTTGAAAAGACTGAATATTCATTTCGGTGCAGTAGTATATTAAGCTAATCCTCCATTTTCAGTGCTGGCATTCCATATGGGTGCCAGTTCATGTCCCAGGTGTTCCACTTCTCATCCAGCTCCCTGTTTGTAGCCTGGGAAAACAGTGGAGGAAGTCCCAAAGCCTTGGGATTCTGCACCGGTGTGAGAGACCTGGAAGAAGTTCCTGGCTTCAGACCAGCCCAGCTCTGGCCAGGACGGGCGCTTGGGGAGTGATTAAGGCGATGGAAGGTCTCTTTCTCTGCTTCTCTCTCTTCTTTCTGTAATTCTGACATTCAAGTAAATAAATGAAGCTTTAAGTTGAATATCTACACTTAGCATCCAATGCAGTGATTTCTTCTCCAGTGAGCTTACTGAGGAGAAAGGACAGCATGGGTCACTATAATGACATGAGCAGCTTGGTTTGTCTCGGCCCCAAGCCGGAAGCCACCTAAACAGTGCCTGGATACTGCTGTTCATGAAAGGGATGAGCCGTTAGGGTGCGTAGCCACACCGACAGATCTCAAATGCGTCATGCCAAGTAGAAATCCAGCAGAAAGAAAGCATCCTGTAGGATTCTATTTGTATAAAATTCTAGAACATGCAAACTAACAGTAACAGAAAACATCCATTCTCACCCTGGACTACACAAAGGAACGTGTTCACGGTTTTGGCTGTGGTGATGCTCTCAAAGAGGTGCACATGTGTCAAAACTAACCCCACTGCTGGAGCTCCAGCCGAGTTCGGAGCTCAAGAAGGGTGTGTGGAGTCGGCATTTTAAAAGAGATAAAGAGAAAAGATGGACCACTACAATTTCAGGATCGTAATGGACAATGCAAGAAAGCTGTCCCCTTTATTTATACAGAAGCAGTCACAAACTCTTACAGACTTTTTATGTCATGGTCAAGTGGGTGTTTCCAAAGATAATTCTGCAAATTGTTTCACCTTAAAGCAGAGCATTATCCATCTGACCCTGAAGCCAGGAGTTTCTCAGTTCATAGCACATATGAATCAGTAATACATTCCTACCTCATTCCTCATTTTACAACCTATCTTAGTCAGTTAAAGGAGAAAATATATCACAGAAGGAGAAACATAAAGATCAGAAACAGGACCCGGCCCAATAGCGTAGTGGTTAAAGTCTTCGCCTTGCACGCGTTGGGATCCCATATGGTCGCCAGTTCTAAATCCGGCAGCCCTGCTTCCCATCCGGCTTGCTCCACACACCCTGCTTGTGGCCTGGGAGGGCAGTCAAGGATGGCCCAAAGCTTTGGGACCCTGCATCCGCATGGGAGACCTGGAAGAGGCTCCAGGTTCCAGGCTCCTGGCTTTGGATTGGCTCAGCTCCAGCCACTGCGGCCACTTAGGGAGTGAATCATTGGACAGAAGATCTTCCTTTCTGTCTCCTCCTCTCTGTATATCTGCCTTTCCAATAAAAATAAACAAATCTTTAAGAAAAAGTCTTAAACATAAATTCCCGTTACAACCACAGATTTAACAACCCTAAACTAGTTTGGAAGCATGTTTTATGATGTTGGTATAAATATTCTTGAGCTCTTGCGGCCGAGACAGCATACATTGTTAAAGACCTGCCAACAGGGGAGCTGTTCTCTTCACACCTTCATGTCATCCACACCCACTGCATGGACCCCAGCACCCCACCATACATGTTGCATGAGTGGCTTTGAGCGGGCATTTGGTGTAGCAGTTTAAGATGCAGTCTCAGATGTCCACATCCACATCACAGTGTGTCGGTTCACAGTGCAGCTGCTCTGCTCCGGATTCTAGCTTGCTGCTGATGCACACCCTGGTTGGCAGCATATGATGGCTCAAGAACTCGAGTTCCTGCCACCCTATGGGAGTCTTGACTGAGATCTAGGCTGCTGGCTTGGCGTGGCCCGGCCCCGACTGCTGTGGGCATTTGGGGAGTGAACAAGTGACTCTTGTTCTTTCTCACTCCCTTCCCCCACCAAGCAGCCTTTCAAATACATTGAAAATAACATTTTTAAAGAAAAGACGCACCGTTTATTATATCATGACAGCTCTAGTGTATGTGAGGCTGTTAAAAATGTAAAGCTTCTGCTCATCAAAAGATACAAGTAGTGTTCAAGGGGAGCCGGGGCAGAAAATGGGCCCTGGGGAGCCAACAGCAGTCCTGGCATACCTGGCCAGAGTGACTCCCAGGAGGACTGGCCCTGGTCACCGTCGCTGCAGCCCTGCACAAGGAGGCTGAGACCTAGCAGCAGCCTGGTTTGGCATTGCCCACACCTGCAGCATGGACCACAAATCAGCACCACCTGTGATGAGGAAAAGAGTGTAAGGAATAAGGAACAAATACGGTTTCACAACAGCACTTGAGCAGCAGAAAGTCACAGAAAAGTAACCCAGGAAGGGCCCTCATGATATAAGAAGTACATGAGGAGTTTGAAGCTTTGGGGAAGGGTGCAGAGGCAGCCCATCACAGGGCCTAGCAGCACTCCAGTGCCAGGCAGTAGACACGCTGCCCCATAGCCCCCGTGAGTGCCGATGCAAACACCGTGCACACTGCTGGCAAGGCTGATCCCGCAAAATCCACAGTAGAGTGAGAGTAGGGAAAAGGACCAAAGGTTAAACTGCTCCTCGAAGCTTGGCCCTGCTGTAGGCCATGGTTCCCAGCTTACCGTGTGTGAGGATCCTGCACCTGGCAGGCGACCACTCTTGTAATCATGTGCCCAGCAGAGGATGCAGAGGGCACAGACAACTGGGGCACAGGAGGACAAGGTAGACCAGTGATACTGAATACACATGTGATGGGTTCCAGACTACAGTGCCACAGGGGCCCTCCTCACCTCCTAATAAGGCAACAAGGAGGAAGAAAATCCAGAGAAGAGGCCTGGGTCAGTTACAGACCTGGAAGACCCCAGACCTTGAGAAAAAGAAGCAGTGACCAATCCACCAGCTGAGAAGTTGACTGCCATCTCGGCTGAAAATGCTGGGTGCCCCGTCTCTGCCCCTAGATAACCTAGCCATCCCACTAGCAAGGACTGGCGATAAAAAATGAAGACAATGAGAACCAGAGAGCTTACGTGCTTGCTTTCCGACTGTTGTCCACATAACTGCTTTGTCCCTATAGCATCTGCTGTCTTTATTTGATAATAACAACCATGTTTAATAAAAAGCCTCAATGTACCTGTGTTTTTAAAAGACTTATTTGTTTATTTGAAAGTCAGAATTATAAGGTGGGGGATGGAGGAAGAGAGAGAGGTCTTTTATCAGCTATTTCACTCCCCAAATGGCAACAATGGCTAGAGCTGGCCCAAGCCAAAGCTAGGAGCCTGGAACTCCGTCTGGGTCTCCCAGTGGGTGCGGGGACCCAAGGCTTTGGACCATCCTCTGTTGCTTTCCCAGGCCACTAGCAGGAATCTGGATCAGAAGTGGAGCAGCTAGGACTCAAACTGGTGTTCACATAGCATGTGCACCCATGTAGGATCTGGACTGGGTTTCTAGCTCGCAGCTTTAACCTCATTACAAGCATTCGAGGAGTGGACCAGCAGATGGGAGTCCTCTATCTGACTCTTTCTGCCGCTTAAATAAATAACTTATTTTCTAGGAGATTTATTTATTTATATGAATGTAGAGCTGCAGAGAGAGATCTTTTGTCTGCTGATCTTTTGTCCATATGACTGTAATAATGAGGTTGAACCAAAAGTCAGGAGTTTTAACCAGGTCTCCCATGTGGCTGCAGGGGACCAAAAACTTGGACCATCCTCTGCTGCTTTTTGAAGCCATTAAGTAAGTGGAAGGGCCAGGACACGGGGGATGCCAGCATTACAGGCAGCAGCTTCACCTGTTCAGTCACAATACTAGACCCAATAAATAACTTTAAAGTAATAAGACTGGGCCCGGCATGGTGGCCTAGCGGCTAAAGTCCTCACCTTGAACGTGCTGGGATCCCATATGGCTGCCAGTTCTAATCCCAGCAACCCTACTTCCCATCCAGCTCCCTGCTTGTGGCCTGGGAAAGCAGTCAAGGACAACCCAAAGCCTTGGGACCCTGAACCCACGTGGGAAACCCGGAGGAGGCTCCTGGCTTTGGTTTCAGTTCAGCGCAGCTCCAACTTCTGTGGCTGCTTGCAGAGTAAATCATTGGATGGAAAATCTTCCTCCCTGTCTCTCCTCCTCCCTGTATATCTGACTTTCCAATTAAAAAAATAATAAAAATAATGTGTTTTTTAAAAAAGTAATAAGACTGGACTGGTGTGATGGCTCAACTAGCTAAGCCTCTGCCTGCAAGCAAACATCCCATATGGTTTGTGTTCCATTTGCTCCACTTTTGATCCAGCTCTCTACTTAAGACCTGGAAAATCAATGGAAAATAGCCCAAGTCCTTGGGACCCTGCACATGCCTGGGAGAGCCGGAAGAAGCTTCTGGTTCCTGGTTTCAAATTGGCTCAGCTCCAATCGTTGCAATCATTTGGGGAGTGAACCAGCAGGGGAAGGTCTTTGTCTCTCCTCTCTGTAAATTTGCCTTTCCAAGAAAAAAAAATAAATCTTTAAATGTGAAAAGACTAACCTTTTCACAAAAATGTTTATGCTGTTTAGCATTTATGATATTTATGATACAGTTAAGAAACTTTAAAAATAGACTGGATATTAGATGGCATTTAGGAATATTGTTCATCTTTTAAGTTGAAAAGCGTAATTTTAGCAGGTTTGGGGGATGATAAGAGTTATCATCTATTGATAATTGTTGAAATTATAATACTACTTTCTGTTTGTGTATGTTTGAAACTTCCATAACAACAATGTAATTTTCATGACAACAAATTTGTATATTTAAAAAATGTTCAACAAGCTCTCCTTTTTAAAAAAGATGTGTTTATTGTTATTAGAAAGGCAGATTTACTGAGAAAAGGAGATACAGAAGGATCTTCATCCACTGGTTCACTCCCCAAGTGGCTGCAACTACCAGAGCTGAACCAATCTGAATCCAGGAGCTGGGAGCATCTTCTGAGTCTCCCACACAGGTGCAGGGCCCCAAGGCTTTGGGCCATCCTCGACTGCTTTCCCAGGCCACGAGCAGGGAGCAGGAACAGAAATGGATCAGCTAAGACGTGAACCGGTGTCCATATGGTATTCTGGCGCTTACAAGGCAAGGATTTAGCTACTGAGTCATTGTGCCGGGTCCTCGACAAGATCTCTTTAAACTTAGGGATCTTATAAGCTTAGAGTCTAGTTTATTTTCTAGTAGTTTCCAGGCTCTTTAAAGGTAGCATAAACTGTATAGAGTTTATCTCTCTCATCTTTTTTTTTTTTTAAAAAAAATACCTAGATTTATTTAATTTTTGAAATGCAGAGTGACAGAGAGAAATCCTCTACCCACTGGTTCATTGCCAAAATGGCCACAGTGGCCAAGGGTGGTCCAGGCTGAAACCAGCAGCCTGGGATTCCATCTAATCTCCCACACAGGTGGCAGGCACCCAAACACTTAGGCCATTTTTCAGTGCTTTCCTAGGTGCATTAGCAAGGGAGCTGGATTGGAAGTAGAGCAGTCAAGATTCAAACATGACCATATGGGATGCCAGCATCCCAGGCAGCAGCTTAATCTCCTGTACTACACAGTGGCAGCCTCTAGTCATTGTCATCTTGCTTGAAAGTTTTGCAGGCACACACTTGCCTTAGTATTTGTTCATCCTGGGCTTCCATTCAGTGTTGAGTGTAGTCTAGGAACCACCAGAGTCTCAGTGTTCCATAGCAAACATTTCAGTTCATCTGACTAACAGAGGACCAGCACGGGCTTTGAGACTTGCATATCTGACCAGGAGATCCAATAGCATGCTACAAATCTGAGTGTTTGAAAAAAAACCAGGAAAGAAGTCCAAAATCCTCTAGGCAGTCGTGTAAGTGCAGCCTGTTCATGTACCATCCTGTCCAGAGATGTCCCAGCGTAGGAGGGCCAAAGCAGTCAGGCATCTTTTCACGTCCCAGGCTTTAGTCCTCTGCTCTGGGTTTGGCCCACAGAAGGCCCCCCGTGCACCCGCTGGGCATGCGCACTGCCCCCGGCTGACTCTCTGTATCCACTCCTCTTTTCTCTTCAGGAGGACTCCAGCAAGCAAACCACCTGCATAAAGATGGAGCTCGCTCAAGGAGGGGACTTTGCTGCCTTCCTCATACAAGGCAAGATTAACCAGAGGCTGTTAGATCTGCAGTCTTCTCTAGTCGATTACAAAACCCCACCACCCCAGACCTTTTATTAGGAAGAATTTCAGGTGCTCAGATGACTTGCAAAAGAGATACAGAGAAACCCTTCCCCAGGCCCAGCTTCCCTGACCTCAACACCCAGTGGGACTGTGCTTTGTTTGCCAGAGTAGGAAATGTTAGTTCAATACCAGTGACTACAGATTCTCAGATTCTCACTGGGTCTCTACTCCTTATTTTTTTTATTTTTTATTTTATTTATTTATTTATTTTTTAAGATTGATTTTATTTTTATTGAAAAGGCGGATATACAGAGAGGAGAGACAGAGAGGAAGATCTTCCATCCAATGATTCACTCCCCAGGCAGCTGCAATGGCTGGAGATGAGCCAATCTGAAGCCAGGAGCCTCTTCCAGGTATCCCACACGGGTGCAGGGTCCCAAAGCTTTGGGCCATCCTCAACTGCTTTCCCAGGCCACAGGCAGGGAGCTGGATGGGAAGTGGAGCTGCCAGGATTAGAACCGACGCCCATATGGGATCCCGGGCATGCAAGGCGAGGACCTTAACCACTGCGCCATCGCACCGGGCCCTTATTTTTTATTTTTTATTGTTTTATTTGTGCTCCAGGGTTCAGTCCAGGACGCCTCATATCTGCTTAGTCTATTCCTGTCTGTCTCAGTTTCTGAGTCTTCTCCTTTGTCGTGACCTTGACACTTTTGAAGGGTACCTCTCAGACTTTGTGGAATGCCCCTCAAGTTTCTATTTGTCTGACGGTTCTCTCGTGATCTAGCTGGGGTTTGCTGTGCCTCGCGTTAGATCATTCTGAGAGGTGTGTACCAGCCAGCGTGCCTCACTTGAAAGGAGCCTCATCTGGTTGATCAAGGGGTGCCTGCCAGGTTCCCGTGCCACACTCTCAAAGAGCAGGTCCCTGAGTCCTCACCCTACCCAGGGAGGGATGGCTGTGGCCTCACCTGCAGAGGTAGGTAAGAGAATGGACATCTGTCTCAGGAACTAGTGATCATGTTGGGGAGGTACTTACAGACTCTGCACATGTCTGTTTTCTCCTTTGAAATTTCTACACTTGGGCCGGCGCCGTGGCCTACTGGCTAATGTCCTTGCCTTGAACGCACCGGGATCCCATATGGTCGCCGGTTCTAATCCTGACAGCCCCACTTCCCATCTAGCGCTCTGCTTGTGGCCTGGGAAAGCAGCAGAGGATGGACCAAAGCCTTGGGACCCTGCACCCACACGGGAGACCTGGAAGAAACTCCTGGATCCTGGCTTCTGATCGGCGTAGCATCAGCCGTTGCAGCCACTTGAGGAGTGAATCATCGAATGGAAGATCTTTCTATCTCTCCTCTCTGTATATTTGACTTTCCAATAAAAATAAAATAAATCTTTAAAAAAAAAAGAGAAATTTCCACACTTACCACTGGACCTTGCCTGCTGCAATTACTGTGGTGACAGACGTTGCCACAGATGTTCATCTTTACAGTTCACTCTTAACTATTTGGACAAATAGCACATGGGCCTCCATGTGCATCCTTGCCCGTGACCTCTCAAAAGAGCTATATGCTTGAGAAAGAGAGATGTGAGATTAGATAATGCTTCATGAGTCCAAGAACACTTCTGTGCCAGTTCCATTTGTTTTCCAAGCTTGCTAATACCCAAGTACCCACAAAGCATGCAACCAAAAATGAGGCCCATTTACTCTCACAGTTCAGCATGCAGAAGTTTGGCATTAGGCGTAAAGATGAGTGCTCTGTTGAGGAAATATTTGGTGGAGAGTCAGCTCGTGGGCAGACACTTTCCCCCAACTGACAGGCATTCAGGACAGACACAGCCTGTCTCTGTAACAAGAAGAGGAGGTTGTCATCTCCTCTGATACCAGCCGGGCAGAATGACCTGGGTGTTTCTTTCCCGACTCTGACCCTCCCTTGCTTCTTCCTCTCCACTGCTGACCTGTACCGCCTTCCTCTCCAGACAGGGGAGGACCAGGGGATGGCAGATCAGAGGAGCTTGCCATCTGTAGCCTAGGAGGCGGGGCAGAACAGGCAGCCTGGTGGGCAGCTGTGTTGCATGAGTGCTCTGAGAAGCGCCTATTCCCTTGTGCTGTACGAGGCATACAGGGGCAGGAGGACTCGCAATGGTCCCTGCTGAGCCCCCCTCCAGCACTTTGTCCAAGCTGCCCTTCCACTGGTGCCTGTGGCAGGAGTGCATGGTTTTCGTGCCAGTGCTTCTGAGAAATCAGAAAAAACATGTTACCTTCTTGCTGTTGCTCAACGATTCCTTGGTTTCCCAATGCAGGAGGTGGAGACGTTTGGCTGGATGTGTATAAATTGCCCAAGGACTCTTGGCTCAAGGAAGTGGAACACTACCAACTTGCTCAAAACTCGAAGAAAAAAGTCGGACAGCTGCAACTGGTACGAAACATCTGTGCACTGGCCCTTACCCTGCTACATTCACGTCTGAATTTTCCCTAGAATTTCAAGATGGATGAAGCCTCTTGAGAAGACAGCAGGAACGCTGTTCAAAGCCTTGCAGATCCATATGCTGTGGTTAAAGCACAGTGATAAAAGTTACTGGAATCTCAGTGTCTCTGCTGGGAGTGGCCTCCTCACCAGGACCACTCCCTGGCCTTCCTGTGGATGCGGGAGGGAGTCCTTAGGCCTGGTCCGAGGTCACTGCCTCCTGACTGAAGGTGTGTCTTTACACCTCAGATGCCCCTGCAGTTCTCAGACTGTAGAGTAAGGGCGTTGTTCTCTGTGTACAGGAATATGTCTGTGTTCTTCGTATTATTCTTAGAAGGCAGGAGCGCTGCCATTTCAGCTGAATGGCATGGGGGTGCCTGAGCGTTGTGCTAGGTCTTTAAGATATAATTCCCCCCCAGAACAGATAGCTTGCAAGTCTTACTATCTTTCTTTCTGACAACTAACACTAACTAGTTCAGTAACCCTTTAAAACCCACGCTATTAGATGCTGGAGATGGAGCAGGATTCTGAGTAGTATAGACTGGTGTGTGCTGAGCTCACACAGAGCCTGGCTCAGTGGATGCCTGGTGAGTGGAATGGGGTCCTGAGTCCCCGGGGCTGTCAACCCAGAGAACTCCCTCCCTGAACTCTCACAGGATTTTGTGACACTTCTTGCACACTACCTTGTGTTTTTTTTTTTTTTTGTTATATTTACACCTGAAAATCCTTTTCTCTTCAGTAGATAATACTTTTCTGGGTTATTAAAACCAGTATCTTCTGCTTCTTTCCAACCAGCCAATCCCAAAGAGTCAGACTCTGTGCCAAGCAGATCCATTTTTTTAAAAAAATTTATTTGTTTTTATTGTAAAGTCATATATATATAGGAGGAGAAACAGAGAGGAAGATCCATCCACTGATTCACTCCCCAAGTGCCTGCCATGGCCAGAGCTGTGCCAATCCGAAGCCAGAATCCCGGAGCCTCTTCCAGGTCTCCCACATGGGTGCAGGGTCCCAAGGTTCTGGGCTGTCCTTGACTGCTTTCCCAGGCCACAAGCAGGGAGCTGGATGGGAAGTGGGGTGACCTGAATTAGAACCAGCGGCCATATGGGATTCCAGCGCATGAAAGGCAAGGACTTCAGCCACTAGACTGCTGTACTGGACCCAGCAGATCTTTTTTGGTGCACTGAGAAGCCATGACCAAAGGTGTTAGAGAGTGCGTATGGGGCAGATGACACAAGCATTGAGCAGTGGTTTTCTGTAGGAGATGATTCTACTCAACAACAAGTAATTGAAAATGTTTAAGATGCACTAAATGCACAGCTGGGCGTCCACAAAGCTTCTTAGACGCCTTCATGTTGTAGACTGCGAACACCACTACATCAAGGGATTGTCAATGTTAGGGTACCCTACTGCTTCTTGGCTGTATCAGAAAACAAACAACTGACAAATGAAGCCACCTCTTTAAAGAATCCTTGGCACGTTTTCCTCTGTTTTGTTTTTATATTTTGTCCTGTGAAATCCTTCCCCGCTGTTTGTTTTGGCTGTTTCCGTTTCTGGACAGCAGGTTGAACAGACAACCCAACCTCGCCTGTGTCCTCTGGGGCTCTTCCTCCCTGCTCCCTTGGCCAAGCTGATCCTCTTTCTGGCCATCCTGGGGGAAGGGGTTGTGCTGAGAGCAAAGCAGGGCAGCCTGGCTGCTGCTGCTTCTGGAATTCAGGAACTCAATGTTAAAATCCAGCAAACCCGCCATGTCAACGTGTGAACTTGCTGCTTGCAAGAGGAAGGGGTGTGTAGAGGAGAGGAGGGGACAGAGCAAGCATCATGGAGGATTGAAGGGAGGAGGGAGCACGTATCCATTGCTTCATATCCATGAATTAATTTCTCATGTTTCTCCCCAGAGCATGCTCGGTCACATTACTCCAGATAATGTAGAAACGGTAAGAAATTTGAACAACAAATTTTTCAGAGAGGTGTAAGCTGCCTTTTAGAGATTTTCATCTTTATTTGAAATTTGTTTTACAAATCATAAAATAACTAGTGTTTATTTATTTGGTTTCACGCATTTTCTCTTGTTTTTCTGCTTTCTGTCTCATTGAGGTCCAATATGATTATCCAAAAAAAAAAAAAGTTTATTTTTTTGAAAGGCAGAGTTACAAAGAGATGTTCTAACTAACTGATGGTTCAGTTCACGAATAGCCACAGTAGGCAGGAGGGCTGGGCCAGGAACTGATAGCTTCCTCCATGTCCCACAAGGATACAGAGGCCCAAGCACTTGGACCATCCTCTGCTGCTTTCCCAAGCACATCAATAGGGAGCTGGACTGGAAGTGGAGCAGCCAGGATTCTAAGAACACCAGTATGCGATGCCATTGTCATTAGTGGTGGTTTAACCTGCACCCCAATATGATTTTTTAAAAATTGTTTCTTTCAACCTGCCTGCCTTAGGTTTAGGTTTTTCCTCGTCCTTAGCTTTCTTCAAGTCACTGATTTGAGATATGTCTTCTTTCCTGATATGTGTGTCTAGTGCTATAAATATTAAGTACTGGTTTAGCTGCATCCTTTAAGTTTTGGTATGTTTTCATTCAATTCAAAATACCTCCTAAATGTATTTAAATGTTTTCTTTGACCAACGGATTTCTTAGAAGTATGTTTTTTAATGCCTAAATATTGGAGCTATTATAGATATCTCTCCTTTTATTGGTTTCTGATTTAATTCAATTATGATCAGACAGCATCTTTTATAAGCTCTACATTCTTTTAAATGTATTGAGCCCTGTTTTATACCCAGAATATGATTTGTCTTTGTAAGTATCCTGTGTGCACTTGAATAGAATGTGTACTCTGCTGTTATTGACCAAGTTATTCATAATGTTTCCTATATCCTTGCTGTGTCTTCTCTGACTTATTGTCTGATTATTCTGTCAGTCACTGAATGTCTCTCTTCTTTTTAAAGATTCATTTGTTTTTATTGGAAAGGCAGATTTACAGAGAGAGGAGAGACAGAAAAATCTTCTATCTGCTGATTCACTCCCCAAATAGCCTCGGTGGCTGAAGCTGAGCCTATTTAAAGCTAGGAGCCAAGAGTTTTTCTTCGGCCTCCCAAGTGGGTGCAGGGTCCCAAGGCTTTGGGCCATTCTCTACTGCTTTCCCAGGTCATAAGCAAAGAGCTGGATGGAAGTGCAACAGCCAGGGCACAAAACGGCACCAATTTAGGATACTGGCACCACAGATGGAGGATTAGCCACTGAGCCATTGTGCCAGTCTCCTGAATGTCTTTTATATTTGTAGATTTTGTCTGTTTCTTCTTCTTTTTCGTGTGTTTTAAAACTGTTTTGAGATGCATAGTAATTTGAATGTTATGTCTGATTGACACTTTGATGTGGTCTTTTTCTTAAAGCATTCTATGTATAGCCATTCCAGATTTCTTTTGATTACTTTTTGCAAGACTTATTTATGTGAAAGATAGCATCACAGAGAAAGAGAAGGGGTGGATAAAGATCTTCCATCTGCTGGTTCACTCCCCAGGTGGCTGTTATGGCCAGAGCTGGGCCAGTCCATAGCCAGGAGCTTCTTCTGGGTCTCTCAGCTGGGTACAGGGCCCAACCACTTGGGCCATATTCCATTAATTTTTCTGGAACATTATCAGAGAGATGGATCAGAAGTGGAGCAGCCAGAGCCCGGTGTTATGAGATGCACTGTAAGCTAGCATCTCATAGCACAGTGGCAGGCCCTTGCTTAATTTTTGAAGATTTATTTTTATTTCTAATTCAGGGTTACAGAGAGAGATGAAAGAGAGATTTTCCACTTACTAGTTCACTCCCAAGATGGCTGCAATGGCCAGGGCTGGGCCAGGTTGAAGCCTGAAGCCGGGAGCTGCTTCTACGTCTCCCACATGAGTGGCAGGGTTCCAAACGTTTTTGAATGTCCTCCACTGCTTTTTCCTGACCATTATCCAGGAAATGGAGCAGAAGTGAAGCAGCCAGCACACAAACTACCACCAATATAAGATGCTGGTGTTGTGTTTTAGTAGCATGTAGTTGTGTCTTGCCTTTTAATAAAACCTGACATCCTCAGCCTTTTTTCTGGAGTGTTTAGACCAGGCACCTTTAATGTGACTATTAATACACTTAGATCCAAATGCTACCTTGATATTGACTTGCTGTTTGTCCTATATTTGTTTCTCCCTCTTTCCCTCTTTTTCTGCCTTCTTTTATAATTAGTGGTTTTGGGCCCGGCGCCGTGGCCTAGTGGCTAAAGTCCTTGCCTTGAACGTGCCAGGATCCCATATGGACGCCAGTTCTAATCCCAGCAGCTCCACTTCCTATCTAACTCCTTGCTTGTGGCCTGGGAAAGCAGCAGAGGATGGACCAAAGCCTTGGGACCCTGCACCCGTGTGGGAAACCTGGAAGAGTATCTGGGCTCCTGGTTTCAAATCGGCGCAGCACCAGCCATTATGGTCACTTGGGGAGTGAATCATCAGATGGAAGATCCTCCTCTCTGTCTCTCCTCTTCTCTGTATATCTGACTTTGTAATAAAAACAAATACAACTTTAAAAAAAAGAATTATTAGTTTAAGTGATTTTGTTTCATCTCGTTTGTTGCCTTATTATTTATGTATTTTCCTTATTTTAGGATATGAATGTATGTTTCAAAGCAGATATTAAACTGAGTTTTCCTGTTCACATAATGAAGATCAAGCCACCTAAGCCTCTTGCAGGTAAGTCATATTCTGTTAATATACTCTTTCCCTTTGCGATTGACTTTCCTGATTTTTCCTTCTTTGTCTTTCTCCATATTTCCCATTTCCCCCTGTTTAACTGCAGCAATACTTAAATTGTAAGCTTAGAAGAGGGACTTTTAAAAAACTTGTAAGTTCTAGGGTCTTGTAACAAAAATAAAATGTTAGCAGGGTGCAGTTAACTATACCCTTGTACCTGTGTTCATTCATTCATGAGTGTTTTCTAAGTGTCTACAATGCCCAAATACAAAGAGCTATCAGTCACATCCCCTGTGCTCTGGAAGCTGATGGTTTACCAGGGAAGGGTGTGAGGAAGTCATCGGAGTAGGATATGACAAGTTCAGCATTGGGGAACATGTTGGCCTTTGGAACACAGAGTAAGGAGGACCTGATCCTACCCAAGCAGTCAGCAAAGGCTTTAACGGAAGAGGCAACATTTAGGCAAGGTTTGAAAGAAGTGGGAGTGAAGTCAAGAGGAGTGAAGCTGCAGGAGGAAAGAGGGCGGCTGCTCTCTGCCAGGGCCTGTGGGCGGCTGGGCTAGGGGCAAGGCCTAGAAGAACATGGACACCTGGACATAGACCTGCAAGAGCCGGAGGCTGTCCGTGAGGGCTTCTGGCTCAGAAGCAAGGGCAGATCATGGGAAAAGCCAAATAGGGATCCAGGTGGTTTGGCTAATTCTAGGTCATTCTCAACCCAGGTACACCGTTTAAAAGCCCTCTGGAAGCTTTCGCAAAGATTGAGGATTGCCACGGGCTGGGCTCCGGGCAGAACCACTTCATCAAGGACAGTCAGTGGGAGCAGCAGTCAGAAATGTTTCACACATTCTACAGGAAGTTCCTGGACACAGAGGGGGAAGAGGAGCAGCCTCTCAGGTGAGCCCCCACACCCCCGTCCCTGACCAGGAAGCCAGGCAGCCCCAGATCTGCTCTTTTCCCAGCACCCGAGTTCATGCGTGATCTAAAAGCTCATTCTTGGACCCGGCATGATGACTCAGTGGCTAACTCCTTTCCTTGCAACTGCCAGAATCCTGTGTGGATGCTGACCCATGTCCTGGCTGCTCCACTTCCCATCCAGCTCCCTGCTTGTGGTCTGGGAAAACAGTAGAGGATAGCTCAAGTCCTTAGGCCCCTGAACCTGCCTTGGAGATATGGAAGAAGCTTCTGGCTCCTGGCTTTGGATTGGCATAGCTCCAGACATTGAGGCTAACTGGGGAGTGAACCAGCGGACAGAAGATCTCTCACTCTTTTTTTCGGTCTCTCCTTCTTTCTCTGTAACTTAAAAAAAAAAAGATTTATTTATTTATTATTGGAAGTCAGATTTACAGAGAGGAAGATCTTCCATCTGCTTCCTCCAGGTCTCCCATGTGGGTGCAGGGATTTGGACTATCCTCTACTGCTTTTCCAGGCCACAAGCAGGGAGCTGGATGGGAAGTGGAGCAGCCAGCATATGAACTGACACCCATATGGGATCCTGGCGCATACAAGATGAGGACTTTAGCTACTAGGCTACTGTACCAAGCCCTTCTCTGTAATGCTTCCAAATAGAATAAATAAATATATTTTTAAAAACGACAGAGCCACTCACACCCCTGTCTTTGCAGGGTCTTCTCTGGAGCTGCTGTGTGGGAAGAGCTCTCCTCACAGCTCTTGTTTCTCCAGGAAGTGATAACCCCTGTCTTGCTCTCCAGTGGGCTGAGACAGCTCACTTCCAGACACCACGGCCGGGGCTAAGCAGTGACCGCAGCTGCCAGTCCTGAAGTGAGCAGCATGGAGGGAGTGTGCACGTCAGTTATTCAAAATCTGTTAATTGTCCATTGTGGGAGAACTGTTAACCTGAAAAATTGGCAGACACCTCACATAATTTATTTTGTTTAAGATTTGTTTATTTTTATTTGAAAGGGAAAAAGAAGGAGAGAGAGAGAGAATCTTCCATCTGCTGATTCACTCTTCAAATGGCCACAAAGGTCAAAGCTGGGCTGATCTGAAGCCATGAACCAGGATCTAGGAGCTTCCTGGTCTCCCATGTGGGTGCAGGAGCCCAAACACTTGAACCATCTTCTGCTGGTTTCCTAGGCCATGAGCAGGGAGCTGGATTGGAAGTAGAACACTCGGGACTTGAACTAGTGCCTGTATAGGATGCCAGAGCTGAAAGCAGAGGCTTTAGCCTGCTACACCATGACTTTTTTTTTTTTTTTAAAGCACAGCACTGGTTGGGTTGCCCATCTGATGAGAACATTAGTGGTCTTTCCTAGGAGGCGGGGCCCTCTGGCCAGCCCGTCCTGGCTTGGGGGCACTGCTGGTTCTTCCACCCTGCCCACCCTGACATCTGAGGCCTACACGTCCCACCCAACTGGCCTGGAGCTCCAGGAGAGTCCTTACTAACTGCCCATTTCTGGGCTGAGCCCCATGTCTCAGCTTTGACTCTCATTCCTCTCTCTTTTCCTTCCCAGTCTGGCTACATTCCACTTCTTCCTTCCCAGCCCCATATTTGCTGTGCCCATGGAAGCCAAGAGCTCCTTTGCCTCAGGTAAATGAGTGTGCCAGGTGGGGTGAGGGGTTGCCTGGGTACTAAGCATAGAGACCTGCCCCTGGCATGCACACTTGCCTGCTGGGGAGGGACAGAGCCACAGCTTCTGGGTCTATTTGCATCTGTGGTCCGCCAGCATCAACATCCTGACCCATGGAGTCTGGTCCCGTCTTCAGGGAGAAACCTCCATAGAGGCTGGCATTGCAAACATGGACAGCCAAAAAGACATGAATTTTTTAGAAGACGTGGAGGCAGCCAGAGGGCACCTGCCCTCCTGCTGGTGCCCAGTCCTTCTTGGAAAGCTCACCCATCAGAACAAGCTGCTGTCTGCTGGAACAGGCCATGTCAGACTACAGAGCAGCTGCTTCCTGGACAACCCCCCCCCCGCATTTGTTACCTGACACCCACATCTTCCCTTTCCCCAGGAGTAGCCTGTGTCCTTGGCGTGCGCTGGACCGGAAGTCACAATTTCTTCCTCTACTCACTGAACAGAACTCTGAAGGATAAAACCGGTATTCTCCTGCTGAGGGGGCTCTCCCTGAGAGCATGGGGCTAACATGCCAGCATCACTGTAGGGGAGCAGAGCTATGCAGGCCCAAGCGGGGGCTCTGTGGCTGTGGCATGACCTCAGAGGTCTGTCACATTTCTGAAGGACAGCAGGTCTGATGGGGCCACAGCCCAGGATCAGGTCTGTGGAACTCCTTCAGTGGCAAGGAGAAAAAGCATGCTATCAACCTTGGTGCCCACCCTGTGGGTCTGTAAGCTGTGCAAGGTCAGGGCAGCTGCTTTATGCCCTAACCCCCGGCTCTCATCTGGAGGAACAACCTGGTCAAGCACTCCTGTTGCCTGTGTGCTGTGACTAGCTAAACCGAGAGCATCTCTGACTGGCTCAGTGAACAGCACTGAGCAGGTTGTAATTTTACAGACTCATGGAGTGGGTGGCATGGGCAGGCTCCCTCCAAGGCTACCCTAGGCTGCACACTTGGGTTTGGTTTAAACTTCAAAAGTGACACGGGGGTCACCAGGGATTAGCTCTTTTCCTTCCACCCATCCACAGCAGCCTCCTCCTTTCTAGTTTCTACTCTGTACTGGCTGGCTGTGTGGCTTGGGGAAAAAAAAAAAATCATTTACTTCCCTCCCCAGGAGCCCCATGGGAGCAAACTGGCAGGACCTCCTTCCTGGATCCCTTATGAGTTCTGTCAAGTGCCTGGCAAAGCTTCCGGCACCCAGGAAGTCCTGGTTAATACTGGCACAGGTGCAGTGCGACCTACCTGTGCCTTCCTTCCCAGGGGAGGAGCTAAGATTATGCAAAGTAGGTGGTGGTGCAGCCAGGCAGGAGCAGAGCCCCTGCACAGGCTACTAGGAGTTGGGGAGACATGCTGAGCAGATGTCTGGGGGTCAGGGCAGGCCTGGTGAGTGTGTCTTCCTCCTAGACCATGAGGGCGTGTGGCCCTGCGCTGCCCCCATCACAGTCTCCCAGCTCAGCTGCTCCTCCTCCTACCTGGTGCTGGCCTGCGAGGATGGCGTGCTCTCACTGTGGGACCTGGCGGTAGGTAAGCTCTCCCCAACACCCCCCACCAACTCCCCATGCCCCTGCCAGCCTCTACCTCACTGCTGGCTGGTCATGAACTCCAGAATTTCTGCCAGCCTCATTCCTCTGTGTTCTTAGAGCCACCCTGGGGAGTTTGTCCTGTGTTCCCTAATTTCTCTCCCTTTTCCCTCCTTCCTTCCCTCCTTCCAACCTATCAGTATGCATTGGCCACCATATCCCAGCAGTTCCCCTTGCCCATGCATTCACTAAGTACGTGTTGTGTGTCTGGTCCCCAGCTAGGTCCTGGAAGGGTGAATAGTGCCATTACACTCACGTGTAGTGCTGAGGCGTCCTCTGGTCTCCCTGCAGCTGCTCCTCCAAGCCTCCACACTCTAAAAGTAGGCAGTTTTAACCCGCTATGCCACTTCCACTGCAGCTGGCAGCAACTGAGAGACCAGGTGGGCGGCACCCTGGTGGGGTCCCCCGGACTCAGCCTGACAGGTGCAGAAATCAGTGGTGTGTTTAGAAAGGAAATCACAGACCTTAGCAGTTTGCCGTTTGAGACAAGTAGAAGTGGCCGCCTTCCCTGGACTCCTTCCCAGGGAGCAGACCAGAGATTATGGTTCTCAGGGAGTACCCTGCCAGGCACATAGGTGCCTGTGGCACCTGGCCTTATGTCATTGGAGGCCTCTGCAATCATCACTAAGTGGAAGCCAGGATGCACACAGCCTCAGCATCTCTGCCGTGGCCAGGGCCAGCAGAATGGCCACAGCTCCCCAAGCCCTCGACAACACCTCTCCTTACTTTCTGGGACCCTGGGACCCTCCTGCCTGGCCACACATGCCCTTGCCTTCAGGGTCAGTTGCAGTTCAGTGCTTGGCTGACCTGGCCCTTGGCTGTGGCCCTGACTCTCCCATCTCCAGCTCCACTCCACTCGCAGCAGGTTCCCCATGTGGGGTTCCTCCTGGCTGCTTCCGCTCTGCTGGTCAGCTTGCTGCCCACAGGCCCCTCCCCAACCCCTTTCTGACCTGCTCATGTGGTCGCTTCCTCCAGGATTCTCCTTTGGGGTCGTTGCTCTTCCTGAGGGATCTATCTGCGAAAGCGTGTATTTCCTCAAGTACTTCCTGGTCCACGAAGGACAGAACGTGTACCCCAAGACTCCGGTGAAGTCCCAAATGTCATGTGTGGTGCTGTGCACAGACGCGTCCCTCTACCTGGTGTCCGCCAAAGGGACCCAAGGACCCACCGTCCGCGTGCTCGTCGAGAGGTGGGTGACTTGGTGGCAGCAGGCAGTCAGGATGTGCTGGGACAGCTGGCTGCTCTGGCCTGGTCACCCTCACTGCCCACCTCCCCTCACAAGCACCTGAAGATCGCCAACTTCATCGATTGGGCCAGATCTTTCTAGCGACTGTGTGATGCTCCAGTGACGTCTTGTACATCCGGGATGACTGAGAAGAGCCTCATTCCTGCAGCAGTACCTTCTCCTCCATTTCCCCCAAGGACAGCACTTTCTTTTGTAAAAATGTTTAAAGATTCTATGCATGCATAGGGAATTCAAGAAGTTGGTTAATAATTATTTGTCCTTTGCAGCCATTTGGAGATTTAGCCAGCAGATGGAAGATCAATGTCTTTATCTCCCTCTCACTTTCTATAACTCTGCCAAAAAAAAAAAAAAACTTAAAAATATTCTCCATCTTGCTTATCAGTGCTGTTTATTCTGTAACTTGCTTTGCAACATGTGAGTCAGGCTGTTGATTCCTGTAGCTCCAGCTTCTGTTCCCTTTGCTGTGTTGTGTTTATTTGTGCAGTTCTCCACAGTTGCTGGTAGCTGTCCCATCAAGGGATTTCTAGTAGGCAAACTCAGAAGTTTCCCCAGGGTATGGGAAGAGGCACAGAACTTCTGGAAAACTCCGTGAGGTTGGAAGATCTCTGTGCTTTGTGTCTTGCAGGCCTGAAAAGCACCTGGATGAAGCAATCTGTGCTGTGGCCCCGGTCCGAGCCCTGCCTGGCATGGTAGGTGCCGTGGGCCTCTCATGTACTTCTGTGCAAGGGATCACCTTTGCTGTAACACTTCCATGTCCAGTTAGCTTTGAGGTGGACAGATGTAAAAAAGCAAGTCCCAGCCTTCTTCGTGGAGCTTACGGTTCCCTTGAGAAGTCTCCAGCAGCTGCTCTACAATGTGGGAACAGCTGAGATGCTGGTTAGCAATCTATGTGTGGAGCAGAGAGGAACTGCCGACTCTCCCTGCAGACGATGGAGAGGCAGGGAGCAGGTGGCAGCCGAACGGAACACTGTGGGTGCAGCGACAGGCTGGGGACAGGAGGCCCGGGGTCGCTTGGACAGGACTGGGTGCAAGGACAGATGCCTTCTGCTCCTGCTGGGGCTTGAAGCCGAGGGTGCAGTGAGGCACACATGGGTGGCAACCTCCTCCATTCCCCCCGAGAAGGGCTGGAGAGTGGAGACTGCCTCGCAGCCCAGCCTACCGTCCTCCTGGTTCACAGATGTGATTCCTTCATCCCTACCAAGCTTGCTGATGAGCAGATCACAGCCCTGGAGAGAAACGCTCAGGATCCTGGGAGAGGGGATCGCAAAACCCTGCCTCCCACCCCCAGTGAACGGCTCTGAGAGAATCTGGTGCTGAAGCCAGGTTTCCAGCGCACTCCCAGGGCGTAACTCCCACCATTCACCTGGGGAGGAGCACTCGCCAGGAGGGACACCCAGGAGAGGTGGGGAGGTGGAGAAGAGTGAGGCCCCACAGCCTGTGCTGGAGACCACCCAGCCCCCTGAGAGCCCTTGCACCTCACCTGTAGACAGCAGCTAGGGTACATAGGCCCCTGGAGGAGGCTGGAGGTGGAAGCAGGCTTTCCAAGGACCCGTGGATGGTCCAGAGGAAGAATTCAGGCTGGAGGCCCCTCTGGGAGCCAGGAGCTGGGGGGAAGCTGTGGGATTGAGCAAGATGCCCTGGACAGGGTGGGGTGGGAGGCCAGGCATTGGGAGCAGCAGGAGGCGCTGGGCAGGGAGCACCTCAGCAGAGGTGCTAGGGAGAACCAGAAAATAAAGAAAAAGAAAGCTAAAGGGGAAGCAATGCAGGGGAGGGGGCGTGAGGTGCAGGGTGTTGGCACCTGTCGCTGCAGCTCCCACATCAACTCTGGCGGGGTGGGGTCAACCAGAGCCAGTGGGGTACCATCTGTACCTCACTGGGTGTCCTGCACCCCTGTCTTCCTGGAGGTCGAGTCTGGCGCCATCCCTGCTCTGCATGGCTCTCCCTCCAGGTGCTCATCTTCACCAGGAATGGCTCCATGTCCCTTATGAACGTGGCCAAACCCGAGATCATCTGTGCCTTTGCCCTGCCCAGACCCCCTCACGTGACGGGGCCCTGGAAGCCCATGTTTCTCGTGTCTCTACAGCTTCCGTTTTTCCTGCTGCAAGGTACACAAGGGCCCAGACCCGAGGCTGCCACCATTCCCCGCCCGCCCACCCCTGCCCGACTTCTCCAGCCCCACACAGAATGACCCCCATCCTGCCCCTCCCCACTCTGGCTCCCCTCCAGGTCAAAACATACACCATGGTGACTTGCAGAAATATCAACAAAGTCTCCCCTCTGGACTCCTTCTGCCCCCTCCCAGCTCAGCCTGGGTCCCCTCTGGGGGAGCAGCTGCCTCACAGGTTGTGTGCTGTGCTGGTTTCACTGCAGGAGACTGTTCGGATGTAACAAAGTCCAAATCCGTAGAGGAGGCGGGGGACACCCGAAATTCTGTATTCTACTTCAACTTTGAGGCTTACCCACTCCTGGAAAATCTTTCCAAAACTTCCATCACCCCTCCAGAGGATCTGAGCGAGACCTTGGCCTTTCCCGAGGCGCTGCCACTGGAGCGCAGGTGTGAGCTGCTGCTGCGGAAGAGGTAAAAGCGGTCGGCCGCGGGAGGGCGCCACCTGCCCCAGCCCAGGAGCCGCACTTGAGGGACTGGCCGTTGGGCGGGTAGCCACAGGCCCCCAGTTCCGGCTGGTGGAAAAGATGGCATCTTCCTGTCCAGAACAACTTTTCAATTGTCAAAACGATTTGCATTTAGGCATATATTTATTTGATTGACAGGAGAGAGTTCCCCTCCCCTGGTTCACTCCCCAGATGTCCATGACAGCCGCGGAAGGGACAGGCAGAAGCCTTGGAGCCCAGGACTCAATCCAGGTCCCTGCCCACACCTCACCTTAGCAGGAGGGTGGGTTCAGGGGTGCAGCTGGGACTCACACCCGGGTACCTGGGCCTTGGATATCCTAATGGGGGTGTTGGTCTCCAGACCAAACCGTTCGATCCATTTTAAGTCCATCTTTGTGGATGGCTCCCACGATGATCCAGTGCACGCTTGGGCTGGAATGGGGTGCGGGGAGCCCTGGATCCTTGTCCCACACCCGCCGCTATAGAGCAGGATGACTGTGGCAAGTGTCCTTGTGTCCTGTTATCTCTGAGTCACTGTCATGCCCACTCCTTTCTCTAGCCCCGTCCCCTGGTGAAGCAAAGGGGAATGGTTAGAGCTTCTGGTTTGAATTCTCTTGCACGTGACCTCTCAGGGATCAGCTTGCTCACTCATTCCAAAGCATCACTGCAGTGGACTGAGTGCCTGGGAGGACGTGCTAGTACCCTCAGAATGTCCGTGCTTTGTGACGGGAGGTGGCCGTCTGGATGCTGCTGTGTGCCCTGCTTGCAACCAAAATGTCACCACCAGGTGGCATCACGGGCACCTCTCTGCTGTCCATCTCCACCCGTGTTACCTGCTCCCACCGTGTCCCTGCTGTGTTGCGTGGGTCGGTTGCATGGCTCTCAGTATCTCACAGAAGCATGCCCACTCCTCGGGACAGGACGATAGCCCCCAGGGAGAGTAAACACGGAGCTGAGGTTGGTGGGTGTAAGCCCTTCCTCAGGGGGCAAGCTCCACCTGCTGCCCCCTGGCTGGAGAGGTCCTGGAAGGTAAAGGACTGACAGCGTCCTGCCTGGGAACCAGAGAAAGCCTGGGCACTCATGTGGTCCGGCCCTGCCAGAGCGCCTGCAAGCAGGACTTGAAAGTTCGTAAGTCTGCAACAAGCTATGTTTTAAGTTAATCATTTTGTGTGGTCCGCAGATAATGTTAATAAGACTCAAGTGGCTATGGGCAGATAAAGGTTCCCCAGCCCCAGTGGGCAGCGTGCCATGGTGCCCACACTTACTTCCAAGTGGCTCAGAAGACCATGCAGACACCCAGCTAGAGGGCTACAGGCTGCCAAGAGGCTGAGGGGGAGTACAGTGCTGTTTTCTGGGTTTAAACATTTTCAAAATAGAAAGTTGAGAAGTGGTTATAAGACATTGAACATATGGTCCTGATCTGAGTTCATGAAAGTATGTACACCAGTAGTAACACTGGTTCTGCCCAGAGGATGGAAGGAGAGGCTGTTTTCTGCGTGTTCTCCCTGTTTGCAACTTTTCTACAGCGTGCGGGAGGAGGGAGAGGGCAGGTGCTAGTGTAGAGGTGAGGCCGAGGATTCCCACGTCCTGTACCGGAGTACTTGTTCCCAATCCAGCTCCCTGCTCATGGGCAGCCTGGGAGGCAGTAGTGATGGCTCCCGTGCTGGGTCCCTGGCACCCACATGGGGACCAGGTGTTCTTGGCTTCTGGCTTTGCACTAGGCCAGCCCCAGCTGCTGTGGACATTTAGCCAATGAAGCAGTGGATGGAATCTCTCTTTCTCTGTCTCTCTCTCTCTCTCACACACTCCTTTTTAAATGAATGGAATTAAATCAGTAAACCTTTCCAACAGGTGGAAATGTCAACCCTCCGTGCTGTTGGGTCATGGCTGTGAGCAGTTCTGGGGAAGCCTTGGCCTGCAGCTTCCTGGAGCTCCTGATGGAAGCCCGAGACCTTCTTTGTTGAACTAGCTTTCACTTCTGTCCACTCTGGCCTGGAAAGCCTCGCCTCAGCCCTGGGCCAGCAGGCTGCTTTGCTGGGATGCACCATGGCCAACACCTGGACGCAGGCTTACCCTCACCCAAGGCGACTGAGCCAGGAGGCAAGCTCCTAACTCTTTAGCCTATAGCTTACTCTTCAAACATAGAAGCACCACATCGGAATAATGGTCTCTCATTGAGAAAGGTGTTTGTTGTTTGTGAGTTCCATAAGAACTTGCAGACATTTGGGAAAACAGGAAAACACAAAAATGAAAATGTACATAAGCCAGCTAGAAATTGTCAGCCCTGCCATTAACATGAGGGGCCTTCAGAAAGCACATGGAAAGTGAATTTTTAAACAGTACTTGTTTTCACTTTATTTGAAAGAAGAAAGAGATGTTCCATTTACTGGTTCTTGCACACACACACACACACACACCACCACCACCACCAATGTTCACAGCAGCCAGGGCTGGGTCAGAATTTCCACCCAGGTCTCCCACTCTGCTATCAGACCACCGGGTCTAACCTGATGCCTGGACCCCCACACCAAACACTCACCCTCACGTTCACTTTGTAGAATATGGCTTTGGGTCACTGCAAAGTATTAATGGAATAATTTCTTTTTCATTTTTGAGAAAACTCCATTTACAAATATGCTATTTCTGCCAACTCACTTGTTTCTCTGTGGAACCCTGAGGGATGGGCAAGAACATCTCCCAGTTTGGGACATGGATCCTTTGCCGTGTCTGTCTCCCTCCCAGCTTCGTCCTGGATCCCAGCGCCAGCCCCTGCCTGGGAAGGGTGGGGTGTAGAGAGCTGGCCCCCGACCCCCGCAGGAGCCTCTGCTAGTCAACCCAACTGACCCGATGCATAGGGCAGGCTAGGGGCTGAATGAGCCAGGGAGGTATTGTGGGGTAGCTCTGGGGAGTGAGGAGTGGCCCACAGTGGTGGTGGGTGCTGGCCAGGTTCCTGGTTGCCTTAGGTTGGCCCTGAGGGCACATCTGCTTGGCCTTGAGCATGAGACTCCAGTCCCATGCCTGTGGCACCTCCTGGGATGACCGGGGGCTCTGCCGTTCTGCCTGCTCTACTGGCAGTGACCAGGCCTCCCCAGAGGGACCCCCAGCAATGGAAACACCCCCAGTTGCTGTATTTTGAGAGGGCATTTGGGGCCCTGTCCACCCACAGCCCAGTCCTCATGGCCATCTGGCCATCCGGAGGCAGGGTGTCCCAAGGGACCTGCTCCCCGTTGAGTTCTTTCCCCCTGTTTACTTCTTGTATCCAAAATAGTGTCCTTGGCTTCCAAACTGGGTGAAACTGCAAGGCAGTGGCAATGGATGGAAGGTTACCAGCCAGGGTGGCCAGGCGCCTGCTGTAGGCCACTGCTCTGCACCCGGCCTCCTGGGCACCGCTCCCAGCACCCCAAGGCCTCGTTGGCCTTGTGGGCTCTGGCCAGCCAGACCTCTCATCATGACAAGGCAGAACATTCATGACACCAAGGGACACAGGCTCCTTCTCCACGTTCCCTGTGGAATGGGACGCCCCCACCCACCAGACGGGCTTCTGCGCCCACCCTGTGTGACACCAGCTGACATTTTAATGAAGTTCTGGGGTGACATTCTGACCCCCTTGAGTCCATCCCTGGGCCCCCAAATGTGGGCCTGTCCAGATCCCTTTGCCTCTCGCAGCATTGCCTTCTGAACCACCTAGAGCTTGGACGGCCACAGGTGTGCACAGGACTAGGCTGTTAGCCTGCAGTGGCCTCACACCCAGTCCACTTCACGCCCAGTCCACCTGGCACCCAGTTCTTCTGGATGGTGTGCACTCCCAGAGTATCAGGGAGCAGTCCCAGGGCCCCCTGTGCCCCGGCTACTAATGGGGAACTCTCAGGGCCCCCTGTGCTCGAAACTGACAAGAAGGCATTTTGGATACTCAGTGGGCTTCCCGGCAGGGCCAGCTGCCCATGAACGGGGCACTGACCCCTTCTCCCTCAATGCTGCACCCCCAGGGGTGGCTGGCCCCAAGTGGGGCTGCCTTTTGCACATGGCAGCCGTTGCCTACCACCTCTGTCCTGGCTGGCAGTGGCACCCTGGGCTCCAACTGCCCTCTCCCTTGGCAGGTGCCTCCATCTGCCAGCTTGTGCTCCCTGGAGGCCAATGTCAGCTTTGTTCCCATGTCAGCAAACGGGCAAGCAGGCGCCATCCCGGGAGCCTCGCTGCACATTTCACCCTGTGTTCTCAGGCAGCCACTCCCCCACCCACCGTTCATGCTGTCTGGATGCATTTTCCCTAATGTTCCCATAGGCAGGCTCTGAGCAGGCTCCAGCCATGCTCTGTGAGTGAGAAAGCGTGAGTGTACTCTTCTCCTGATGTGGCCCCTGTATGAAGTAGGCGCAGTGCTCCTGCAGGTATGAAGCCACGTGGGAATTACCTGGCCCCTCCACAAGTTGCACTTGCAGCTCAGAATCTGTGTTCTCACGGCACACACACATACCCTTTTTTAGGTCCTGAATGCTACAAAAGCATCCCAGGAAAGGCAGGGTTTTTTGATTGACAAGTAGGAAGGCTGAATTAAATAGTAAGTTAGTGAAGACTTCCAGCTCAGTAGGCCAGCCCACTGCCCACCACTCCACAGCAGTACTGACACTCCTGTTTCATAAGAAAGGGGTTGGGCAGATTCTCAATCTGTGGGGAACTTGGGGCTCCCCAAAGCCAGGGCGTGGTCAGCTCCAGTGCCCAAGTGCAGGCAGCAAGTTCAAAGCCAAATGGGGGCAAGGATGGACCTGGTGGGTGAGGGATCTGGCTCCCATCGTGAAGTGCCTGGGTCCCACGGCCAGCTCCTGGTGACGTCAACCGTGGCAGGCGGTTGTAAAGAGTGCAGTGATGGGGTCGCTGCCACCCATGGGAGAGACCAGCTCCCGGCCAGGGGCCCTCATGGGTATCTTAGGAAAGAACTGCCAGATAAGAGTGCCTCCGCTCATTCTCTGCCTCTCTCATGCACTCGCTCGCAACTCTGCTCTTTCCCACTTCTTAAATAATATTTTTAAAGGCCAGCTCTAAATCTGTCTGAAACTGGTTGCACCGGCCTCCAGACTCCAGGTTAAGAGGCCAAACCAGCGCTGTGCCCCATTCTATGTTCTTCCCTGATGACTGCTTGTTTACCTAAAAGGGGGTGTGAAGTGTGGGGTGCTGGCCTTGTCAGTGTTCCGGGAGGAGCCTCATCACATCGAGGTGCAGGCTGACACCAGAAGCTGGCTCTTGCGCCCCCTGGTGGCGTGACTGCGCAAGTCAGGGTAAGGCTCTGTGCAGGACACTGAAGCATCGTGCGCAAAGCCACTGCTTTGGTCTTTGAGACTTTGTCCTGGTCCTGATTATTCGGCTGCCTCCCACACGGCCACCTGCTAAGCAGGGCTCCCATCCCAGCAGCCTCACTGCTGCTTACTAACCTGCAACAGCCTTTACTGGGCATCTGCCCGGTGCTCCGTGACCATCCTCTCGTCTCCTGCTACCGTCATCATCGCCACTGGATGGTTAGAAAGCAGATGCCAAATCACCCAAAACTTATATTTTGCAAAAATCTCACTGAGATGTGGTCAGAAAAGCAGACCTCCACAGCGTACCTCTTTGCGACTCCACATGGTGTCCTCCGCATCCAACCATGCCACACTAAGCCATCAGGGTTTCCTGTGCCAGGACCCGCTATGCTCCCTGGCATGCGACTAGCACACTTTGCTTGCACAGACTTTAAGGTCCTCAGTTCACTCTCACCCCGCCCCGCGGCTCCTTCAGTGAAAGCTGGCCATGTGCCTGCTCTGGCCCGGCCTGGCCTGCACATGCAGGCAGGACCGTGCCCTGCACTGGGAGCCTGCGTGCTGGGGGCCGGGAGGTACGGCGGGTGCCTCATGCCTGGCTCTGTGGCCTCAGCTTCCAGATGCTGGAGAAGAAACCGAAGCAGATCCAGGAGCATGAGCACTGGAGCCAGCTACGGAGGTACTCCTTGCTTCTGCAGCGGGAGAACCGGAAGTGACCGGGACCATGAGAGACCCTGTGAGGAACAGCCACAGCTCAAGCCACTCGCAGAACCAGAGGAGGGGAAGGTCGCACTCGGGGCCCTTGCTGAACAGATACGTCAGCTAAATAAACGGCGGCTTTGCTTGCCAACTCTAGCGTTGCTGTGGTGTGTACCCATCATGCCCCTTGTCCAGGTTCTAGCAGGACCCATCTAGTGGTTTCTTAAAAATAATGATAATAGGGCCTGGTGCTGTAGCCTAGTGGCTAAAGTCCTTGCCTTGGACATGCTAGGATCCTGTTTGGATGCCAATTCGTATCCCAGCTGCTCCACTTCCCATTTAGATCCCTGCACCTGCGTGGGAGACCCAGAAAAAGCTGCTGGCTTCAGATTGGCTCAGCCCTGACCATTGCAGGTACTTGGAGAGTGAATCAGCAGATGAAAGATCTTTCTCTCTGCTCTCCTTCTCTCGGTAAATTTGCTTTTCCAATAAAAATAAATGAATCTTTTTATAAAAAAAATGATAATAGTAACTTTTTTTTTTTAATTTGAAAAGCAGACACAAAGAGAAAAATCTTACCTAAAAGGCCACAATGTTGGGGGGCAGGTCAGGCCAAAGTCAGGGCCCTGGGATTCCATCCAGATCGTCCACATGGGTGCAGGGACCCAAGGGCTTAGACCATCGTTTACTACTTTCCTCGATGTATCAGCAGGGACTCAGAAAATGCAGCTACTGGCATTCTCACATGATGTGGGTGTGACAGACAGCAGCACCACGCACTGTGCCACAACGCCAGCCCTCCTCCAGTTAACAGTTTCAATCTTGGGGGACCATTCATGTCATGGACCTAGGAGAGCCCCTTTCCTGCTTCTTAGTGAGTCACACTCCTGGCCTGCTGCCTGGGCTGTCTCCTCACTCTTCCCTGCTCCATGTTGGCTTCCTGGAAGAGCTTCCCTGAGCCGGGCTTCCAGGTGAGGCCTGGGGCTGAGGATGCGGGCTTGGTTAGTGGCCGAGGTGGGCCACCTCCCCCCCTGGGTCACCTTCACACTCTTCCTCGTGGACATGATGCCTCTCTATGGCATCAATGCTGACTCACTGAAAATGCCCCAAGTGAATTTTTTTTTGTCAGGCAAAAAAACAAGCTCACTGCTGCTACCTAACTCCATGTCAGAACCACCTTCTGCAGGCAGCGGATGTGGTGGGTCAGAGAGATGAGCCTTGTAGTAATAACACCAGAGACTTCCTCCTGGCTGCTGCCCCTGCCAGCCTGGCCCTGTGTGCTGGTCACCGGCTGCTCCTACAGCATAGGCCCCTTTCTCGGCAGTTCAGTGTGCTGCTCACAGCCCCAAACCTCAGCCAGCAGCCAGCAGCCAGGGACTGACAGAGTGACAGGGCCACCTGGAGTAAGGTGTCCATGTCTTTCCTGGCAGCGCTGGCCTGGGGACTCAAAGTCCTTGCTGCCTCTGCACGTCCCTGTGAGCCAGAGCTCAGCAGAGGCACGAGAGGCCCACATGGGGCTCTGCCAAGGCTCCCCCTCCAGGTGAGACAGCCAAGTCAGTGGTCCCTGCACCTGCCCCAGGGCGATAGAGCCACTGGGACGGTGAGGACCAGTGGGGCCCAGTGAGTGGCCAGGTATAAGACTTAAGAAGACACAGTTCCCAGGGCTGTGCAAGCGTAGGGGCCCGCGCTTGGGGGTGCAGACAGAGCACTCCCGAATCTGAGCCTTAGAATCTGGTTGGGGGCCGGGGAGGGGGCAACCATGTGCAGCCAGAGGACAGCAGTTACTCACCTGCTGGAAGCCCATCCCAACTCCCCAGCTCTGCTACCGTAGACAACTGTGGCCCCTCTTTCCCCGATCCCTTCAATTCTTGAAAAAGCAGCAATGAACTTTAGCAGCCTCATTTGCATCAGCATCTGCAGTGACTCCAGCACAGCTATTCCAGTATGACACTCGCATGGTGTCACCTCCCAGCCACCTGCCCACACACACACACACACTTCCCAGGACTCTGCTCAAGGCCTGGTGGTCCCCACCCCTTAGCCAGGCACCTGCTTTGGGACAAATCCCTCAACCCATCAGTAAGATGGGTCTTACAGCACATAGCCACCCCACTTGCAAGGACTTGGAAATAGATGGCAAAGGCAGAGCCTTAGGCACCCAGCTGAGAAAACCAAGACTGCCAGCGCCCTACTCTGAAGAACAGGACGTGGAGGCTGTGGGGAGCACAGGGTGGGCAGGACCCATGGGACCCCTCCTTGGCCCTCGGGTTGAACCCGAGCCACGCCAGACTCTTGCCCCAACCAAGCCCTTTGCGAGCACCCTCACCCTTCAGCTGGCTGCTCCTTTGCCGCTGCCGGGCTGGAATCACAGAGCTGTGGCCGGTTGCCCTGGTTCTGCAGAGAGCTGACGCCGGGCTGTGACAGGCACCACCCCGTGGCTGCCGCTGGGCGTGTAGGCTGGCGTCTCATTCAGTCGCTTCTCCCTTAGCCTTCCAAGGGAGGCTCCTCCGACCCTGACACCATGGCGAGTTCCTGTCACTGTCGCTGTCATAGGAAGGGGGTGGGGCTGCTGGAGCAGTGGGAGGCGTTCCCAAGCCTGGGTCGCCTCCGCTATTAGCAGGACCCCGTTAATAAGAATTCACACCCAGGTGCTAATAAACAGTGGGCGCCTGGCAGGGAGAAGGTCAGGCCAATGAATCCCTCTTATCTGTGAAAAGACTTGCCAATAACGTTAATTCCCATCCTACAAGCTCCACCTTTGCCATGCAAATAGACTTTCCTAGCTGGGTAGCTCCAGGAGGATACTCCCCCCAAGTTAGGGCTCTGGGGTGGGTGAGGGAGAACCGTGATATGGAAGGAAGTGTGGGGGTGGAGAGAGGGTACCCAGGAGGTGTGAGGGCCCCCAGCCCCACAGGGCTTAGCTTAACCCATTCCCTGTAGCAGCCAGGGTGTGCCCTGCTGGGGTCCCAGTCTGTAGGAGCAAGGTCCTGGCGCTCCTGAGGGGACAGTGTGCAAGTGGGTCAGCAGAGAGGGAGGGCCTGGGATGTGCTGGATGTGGCCAGCCACCAGCCACTAGCCACATGGGGTGAATGGTCCAAACAGGAGATCGGGCAGGAAGCGATGCTCCTGAAGGAGGGGGATGGGGCTCTTTAGGGGGGCTGACAGAGACGCTGTGAAGTAAGCAGCCATGGTACCCCCACTCCCCAATGGTGCCTCTGAGAGGGTGACAAACACTAAAGCCTGTGTCGTCAACACACCCGAGGGGTGGGAACAGCCTGCAGGTCAGCCAGTGGATCCTGGGCTCTCCCTGGCCAGGCCTGGGCTCCCTGAGGTTACTCATGTCCCTGGGCCACACGGGAAGAGACCAGGAAGCTGGACCACAAGGGACAGAGGGCTCTGGGCCCCTTGGAGCTGGTGCCCGTTAGCAGGGGAGCCAGCAGAAACCCAAGGCAGGAATTCCCTGCAACCTGAGCACAGTGTAAGGACCCAGATGCCGCTTTGGGCGCATCCAGCGCCCCACCAGGCTGCCTCCAACTGCTGTCGCCCAGCAGGCCGCCCACACACCCCTTCCTCCTGGCTGGCGGTTGCTCAGAGGCTCCCAGCCAGGCTGCAGGCAAACCAGGCCTATGTGCTCCGGGTTGTGCACAGGACTCCCCCTGAGTCCTTTCATCACCGAGGGAGGGGCTGGACAGAGCCATCCGGTAGGGGACAGGCCTTTGGCTCCTTGGCCGCCTGTGCCAAAGGCTCCATGGTGCCCTCCTCCCAGTGTGAAGGCCGGCTTCAAAGGCGTTCAGGCCTGCAGCGCCACCGGCGCTCACAGCCCAGAGGCCAGGTGTCCGCTATCCGTGGGCTCCTCAGGCGGGGGGGTGCCCATCCGGAGGCATCAGCATCCAGGTCTCTAGCAAGGCCAGCACGTTGCCGGGGAAGAGCTGCCAGGAGAGGGGGCAGATCTGCACACAGCGCGGGTGCAGGACCCTCAGAAGATCTCCACTGACGGGGCGAGGGGCCCGGCATGGCCTCCCCGTTCTTCACACATTGCATCCTTCCGAGAGCTAGTAGGGGCCAAGTGGTTTACAGCAGGGACTAACCCTGGGCGAGCGCCTCAGCTCCATCGCCTGCCCCTCAGGACATGCCACATCCAAAGCACAGCAGGCACCGGCTGGTGGTGCGTCTCTGGCCTGGCACAGCCCCTAAGACAGGCTCCCAGCTGCTCCCACGCGGGGTCCAGCCGCGCCCCCGCCGGGCCTGAACGCCAACCTGTGGGCCGCGCGGGCCGGCAAGACAGCTGCCCTGTGGCCAGCGGATGAAGGGTGAAGCAGTAGCAGCCGCAGCCAGAGGGCGGCGGCTGAACCAGGCTCCAGGCACTGCGAGGACCCAGGACTGGCAGAGTGCCGGGCACCGGGCGGCCATAGCGTTGAAGGCAAAGGCTCCTCTCAGGGGGCTGCAGCCTGTTTATGCGGAGCCCGAGGTGTGAAGTGGCCTCTTCCAGGCGACCTCCGCCTCAGCACTTCAAAGCAGGCTGAGGCCGGCTGACTCTTTGAACCCAAGTGCGTGGGGGCTGAGGCGCCCACCTGGCCTCCCCCAACCCTCCCGTGGTGCAGGCCCACGAAACGCCATCTCCTGTAACAAGGACACAGGCTCCTCTTCCGGCCAAGGACAGCTGCTTCAGATGATCAAGCGGGAGCCCACGGCTCCTCCGAGGAAGCCCTCCTAAACTGGCCAGGTCACTGGCAGGGGGCACCCCTAGCCTGGCAGGATGGGCACTAGGGCCCTTTGGCACAATTGCCACCAACTGAGCTCTAAGACGCTACGATGTCTTCCCATTTTGAAACAAGCTAACAGGTTTTTGCCAAATGAAAGCATAAGGTAGCCAGAGAAAAAACTTTGGGCAGAATTCCAAGGGATCGTTGACAATTCTCCACAAAAGGGAACTTAAAGAGTAACTTTCTAAGCTTCATAAAGCTCAGGAAGAGAGGCCTGAGCCTTAGCCTTGGCACAGCAGGTTCAACCTGTGCCT